GAGAGAGAGAGAGAGAGAGAGAGAGAGACCTTGAGGTTAGTGGGTGTGGCGGAATAAGCGGAACGGAGGGAATGGAAGAGAGCTTGAGCGTCCTTGCTTGTCGATCTGGCCATGGCGGACTTTCGGTTTGGTCGTCGTCTGCTTCTACAATCAACACTGTTTTGTTTTTCTGCCTCGGCGGATATCCGGTTACTTCAGGCTCCATATTAAACCCCTCTTTCCAATCCCTTGTCCAATATCGTCATTTCAAGCTCGCTTTTCTTTTCTTTTTCTTTTTCTTTTTTTTTTTCGGGGTTGTTAACAATATTAATCCTGAATTTTTTTTTTATTTTGGCCAATTAATTGCTGAATATATATATATATATATATGTATATTACAGTTTTGATCTCTCATATTAAAATTGAAAAATAACTTTTGAATTATATAAAATGAAAATGACTCTAAAATAAAAGACACGAGTGAGAATAACTTCTTCAGTTAAAGGAAATTTTATATTAGAGAGGTCAAAAATATAATATGTATGATTTTTTAAAAGAATAGGATGAGATAGTTATTTGATATTATCGAATGTGGATGTATTAACTTACTAATTTCATAAAACGACATTTCTACTGAAAAACTCAAGCACAAATAAAAAAATTTAGGTAACATACCATTTTTTTGTAAATATTTTTGAACTTATACCATAATTTTTTTTTTCTTTTTGCTTTAAAGTTATACTTTTAGTTTTTTGTAACTTAGTTTCGCTTCTTTTGAATAAAAAATTTCAAATATATGACGCAAATTCAAAACTCTAATACGATTATAATCTCCGGACTCCTAACTCTATCGGAGTGTACTTAAATGATGTGATATAAGTTTTTAGGATTGCTCGATGCGAGTGTTTGGGGGTGGTTTGGTCTGATGCGGGCCTTTTTCTGGCCATACTCGAGCGGTGGCGTCTTTAAGGTCCAAACAGTTTGGTTGTTCATCAGGCGAAGTAGGTTGAAAGACAACCTTTTCTTTCTGAGGGCTGATGGCGTTTCTTGGTGCTTGGTGTCGTTTTCTTCTTGGGGATATTGGTTTTTGTGGGGTGGCGGATTTGAGCTGATGACGCTCTTTTTGGTTGGCAGTGGTGGGTAATTATTGATGGTTATCTCGTGTTGGAGACCAACATTCTTCCCAGTCTTCTTTGGCTCACTGATTGTATCGTGGCTTTCTTGTGCCATTCTCAGTAGTGGTCAGCTCATCATCAGAGATTTCACTGTAATCTTTTGGGATTTACCTATTTTTGTTAGTTTTGTGCTTGTTAATAACTATGGTGCTCTTTTCGTTGTTTAGGTTCTAGCGTTGTTTTATTTATTTTTTGATTTTTTATTGAAACAACATAGGTGGTCTCCCCATCTTTCGGGTCTTTATTTTGTCTTTAGCATCGTATCTATGCAGTGACCTTTGTGCTATATCGTTGTGACTCTCAATCAATCGAACATTTATATTGATTTAGAGTTTTGGTAAAAAGAACTTTTTGTGAGCTTGTTCTTGATGTGTTGAGGTACTTCCTGTTCTCGTACTTCTGGTATACATTCTACCAATTGTTAGATTATTGATGAAATCGATCTTAATTGAGAGTTTTACCTTGCACTGCATGAGTTCATTCACATTCTAATCTGTGTTTTCTTTAATGAAATATGCCTTTTAGAAAAATAACAAAGAAAAGAACCTCTAGTATCGGTTACGGAGAAATGCTAATATCACTTATTCTGTTACTCTTTTTATCACTATCTCGATTCACTGTTTGACACATGAACTCAACTAACATGATATATTATTATTTAAATAGAAAATAAGATAATGGTATTGGAGTCGGATCAGTTAATGGGTCAAACAGTGAATAAATAAAG